GGCCTCCAGATCACCAATGATAGGGCAGCTCGCACCATTACGATGATTCAGTCGCATATGGTTGAGCAGATCCTCACGTGGTTTTGCTTCCTGTTCTCCAAGGTACAGCTCACCCCTCTTGCTGTGGATCATGGGCTCACAGCTACACCCCTGGACGAGTCATTTGAGTCTAGTGGTCCATATGAGGAGCTGGTCGGTTGTCTCATGTAGTAGATGACCTGTACTCGCCCAGACCTAGCTTACCCTTTTAGCGTCCTTGCGTGCTTTGTTGCGCTTGGGAGACACTGACCGACCCACTAGTACGTTTCTAAGAGGGTGACGAAGTATGTGGCGAGTACATCGGACATGGGATTTGTCCTTGGAAAGAAGCAGCCAGTTACACTCATCGGATACTCGGACTCGTCGTGGGCCGACGACGTGTCGGTCTATACACGAGTGCTTCTTTAGCCTTGGAACTTGTGCTGTTTTATGGCCGTCGATTCGGGCATCATCCGTCTCTGGTTCCAACGATGAGGCAGAGGTGTACGTTGCGGCCAAAGGTGTTACATTTCCTGCGGCCAAAGCTATTTGTTAGGGTTTGCTAGATCTTGTTGTACTTTCTCTTTTCTTAGTCACTTCTTCACCTGTTCAACTCTCGACAGCCCGTGCTCGTCGGTTCTGCTTGTCGCCTGAGATGTCAGCATCCATGTAGCCAAATAGTTCTAGCGTCTCTGGTCTACCGCCAAACTCCAGGGCAGTGTTAAGAGTGTTGGCGTGGTAGGCGAGGCAGGGGTCGACCTCACTCAAGTGCTGGCTGCTCCTCACCGTTAGGCCACTCCCCAGGTTGCTGCAGGCGAATGAGATGTCCGGCCTTACCGCCGTCACCGCGAACTGCAGTGAGCCGACCTTCTGCCGGTGCTCCTCCTCCCGACGCTTCTGTGCCTCGTAGTCGTTGAATGTTAGCTCGGCGAAGGCGTCGATGGAGACCGGCGTCTTTGGGGTGCACTCAGTCTGCTCCTCGTCGATGAATTGCCTACTGCACCCACAGATTCCTCGCCAGCCTGTCGCTCACAATCTCTAGCCTGAGGTACTTAACCATGGGCGAGATCTCGCGCAGCTCAAAGGTGGCCTCTAGCAGCTCCTTCAGCCCCTTCAGCATTGCAGTGCTGCAGCTAGAGGTGAGCACGTCATCGACCAGCACCCAGCACGCCACTCCGCCGTCACCAACCTTGAAGTAAAGAGCCTTGTCGACCTGGCTCTTCTTCCAGCCACTGCCGACCAGCAAGTCGTTGAGCGCCTTGTACCACAACAGTGGCGGCTAATTCAGCCCGTATAGGCTCTTCAACAGCTTGCACATCTGGCCGGTTCCGTCATTGTAGTAGTCCGGCTGGTACATGTACAACACCCGGTCAAGCTTGCTCTGCAGGAAGACGAGCTTCATGTCGAGCTGTATCAGGTTGAGGTCGAGGACGTCGACGATGTTGAGGAAGATCCTCAGCGCGACGTAGCTGCTTACCGACGTATACATCTCGTCGTAGTTGACGCCATACACCTGCGTGAAGCCCTTCACGACCAGCCTCGCCTTCTCCCGAGTGACCGTGTCGGCGACGTAGAACTTGGTCAAAAGCACACACTTGTTCTTTATGATGTTCAACCCGCGTGGGCGTTCGACTAGCTCCTGGGTGCCCATGCCGATGAGGCTTTGGATCTCCTCGTCTATGGCTGCCTTCACCCCCGTGCCCTTCCACCTCGCCAGCGCCTCCTTCACGGTCATCTTTGCGATGTCCCAGCGGTGTTCGGGGTCGCCGTGCATATCGGAATCAAGCTCCGGCAGGTCGACGCCTTTCTCGGCATCAACGTCGTCGTTGTTGTACAACGTGATGAAGGCAGCATGCGGGAGGCAGACATGGTAGGTTAGCCGCTCAAGCGGCCCTTGAATTCGACCTGAACGCCGTGGTCTAGGTTGGTCGACCTGAACCTCCACCACATCGCTGTCGGTGGACTCCTCAGCGCCCGTTGTTGGTGTAAGGACCTAATAAACTCAAGCTAATAAGACTTAATCAAACTTAAAAGCTCTTCTCAAGGTCACCTCCAAGGGTCTATGGGTGCCTGCTACAAGACCAGCCCCTATCCTCGGGTCCAAGTTTGTAGAGAGAGGGATCAAGAATGACTTAGCTAAAACAGCAAGAGCACCTTGAACGTTGCGCAGTGTATCTTGCAGACCGTCGTTTGGATTAAGCTGAGACTTTGCTATATCAAAGCTCACTCCAAGAGCTTTTAAATAAACCAAGTTGCCTCGCGAAAAGTTCTGCCATGACGAAGTTATGGCTCGGATAGCGTTTGCATAGCATTAGAGTGCTAACGTACTAGCGTTGACTCAGGTAGCATTCCGTTGTCGTATCACGTAGAAACGAAATACCAGGAAGGGAGGAATTTGCTTGAATAAAATTGACTATATCCAGGTACAAACAGAGAAGGAATCAATAGTTCTAGTTAGCAAGGACCTTGGGAATCAACATAGGAACAACCAGTGGTGATCCCAAATAATTCCAAGCAACAGAACCAACCTGGCTGGACAAAACAACAGGTGATAGGTTGGTAAACAACCTCTAGTTCTGTTTTTCCAACTTGGGAAAATAACAACCAGGTTCAGGTCCTAAAAACAGAAGCTGTTTTGTCTTTGCCCAACCAGCCAAATGCTGGTTCCGCTGGTTTCCCCTGGTCCTGTAGCATGCAGATACAGACAAACAACATCCACTCTTCACTGAAATTGTACCCCTTTAGGGCCTGCCCTGCTACTCTATAGTAACCTAAACAAAACAGTACAATTTGTAGTTGGATAGAACTGAATCTATAAATCAAGTCAAGCGAGTCGCAAAGCTTCCATCTTGGGTTCCTTTGCGAGCTCGCCTTTTCTACTTGCACTGTTCATATCGCATATATTGTCGTGCCAAAGTGCACATTATGCGAGTACCTGCAAATGCATCAAGCAAAAATTGCGAAAGCAAACAAACACACGAACATTCCATTCACACCCAAATGCATTCGCGCACGCATACTCGTACAAACAGATGGCAGGATGTCGTGCAATGTGAATTTGCACCCAACACCCATCTGCTCCCCTCCATCGTCATCGGGTTCGCTGATCTCGACGCCCCGGTGCACCAAATTTGGCGTCCCTGCCGATTTCTCCCTTGTTGTCGGCTCCCTTGCTGAATGCGTAGTCGCAGACTTCTCCCCTGTGAGGTCGCAGACTTCTCCCCTGTGGTCGGCTTCGCAGACTTCCAGTGAGTCAGACTTCTCCCCTGTGGTACGGCGTAGTGCCCGGCGGTAGCGTCGACTTCTCCAGGCAGTTTCGCACCCAGACCGCTTGTCGCACGGTGAGGTGCCACCAGTGGTGCTACACACATATGTGCAGCAGCATTGTCCGCACCGACTCCACCACCGTACGCATCTCCCGCTCCACCATACCGTTCTGCTGCGGTATGTAGGGGTAGTTCAAGTTGTGGATGATCCCCTTGCCATCAGGCAGGCGATGAACTCCTTCCCGAGGAACTCCCCTTCCCGATCAGAGCGGAGCTTTGGCACCGACTTCGCCGTCTGCCGCTCAGCCACCACCAGCCACTTCTCAAACTCCCGCAGCACGTTGGACTTTTTGGCGACCGGCCTCACCCATACCTTGTGGGTCTTGCAGTCCTTCAGCACCAGGAAGTATAGGCTGTCATCCTTGGCAGACATCCGTAACGGCCCGCACAAATTGAGACCAATGGGGTACAACCCAAATTAGGGTTAGTACTTGTACCCATCCTCTTGCTAGTCCACTCATCCTCGCTTACACTTTTAGACATGGTTTCAAAGCTGGTTCTCTCCTAGGACCAGTTTTTTTTTAGGGTCCACCGAATTGCTCTACCCCACACGTCGCGTCGCCTTGTTAGCGCCGCCTTGCCCTGCCCTGCGTCGCGCTGCCCTGCGCACTCCCCGCCTTTCGTCGTGACGCCCGCACGCACTCTGACCTACGTCGCGCCGCCCGCATACGCCGTGCTCTGCCCGCACGCCGCTCGCCGCCGCCACCCTGCCCTGCCCACGCACTGCTTGTTGTCGCGCCGCCCTGCCTTGCCTACTCGCCGCTCGCCGCCGCGTCGCCCTGCCCTGCCAGCGTGCTGCACGCTGCCGCGCCGCCCTGTCTACCCGCGCGCTGCTCACCGCCGCGCGGCCCTGCCCTGCCTGCGCGCCGCTGACCGTTGCGCCACCCTGCCCTACCTGCGCGCCACCTTGCCCTACCTGCGCGCCCCTAACCGCCGCGCCGCCCTGCCCTGCCTGCGCGCCGCTCGCCACGGCGCCGCCCTGCTCTGCCAACGCGCCGCTAGCCGCCGAGCTGCCCTCCATTGCCTGCGCGCCGCTCGCTGCCGCGCCGCCCTGCCCTCCCCGCGTATCACCCTGCTGGCTGTTGCTCTGACCGGATCTGCCTGCGCGTCGCCCTGCTGGCTGCCAATCTGCTTTGGCTTGCCTAGATGCTGCCCCGATGCTAGCGCGCCTATCTGCTTAGCCCGCGATGGCTACTCTCAGTGTACTCTCCTTTGATGCAGAGGGCTGTCCGATTCAGTTCGACGTGTGGCTAGATGACCTACAGCTGTAATTACTGAGCGATTCTAGAGACGGTGTCTCACTGTTTGACCTCATGTCTGGAGCCTCTCTCTTCCCTTCCGCCACAGCTGACAGTGCGACTCGCTCACAGTGGCTTACTCGTGACGCTGCTGCTCGCCTAACCGTTTGCAACCACCTGCCATTAGCCGAAAGCGCTCACTTTGGCCAGCACAAGACTGCTAGTGCCATGTACGATGCTGTAGTCGCTCGTTACTCCTCTTCGGCCACTGCTGCTCTAGGCCACCTTATACTGCCCTACCTGTTCCCCGAGCAGTCCGCCTTTGCCACACTCGCCGACCTTCACTTACCTTCGCACTAGTGACACTCGCTACCGCGCCGCGCTTCCCTGTGAGTTTCTAATCAAGAACCCTCCTCCTATGTACATCACGCTCTACTTCATCGTCACCCGCCTCCCTGACTCTCTTAGCATACTCAGAGACCTCCTTCTTGCCGTCGACCTCACAGACCTCACTGTCGACCTGCTCGAGAAGCACCTCCTTGCAGCTGAGACTAGCATAGTCGCTGTAGGCGCTTCTCGTGGCACTCCTCGCACTCCCTCCTTTGAGGGGTGTTCCCCCTCCCCCCTTGTTCCCTATGTCCCTTCTGTTGGTGCTGTTGAATTCCTTCATCCTGAGGAGGTCGGGGCTGCGTCTGCTCCTATGGGAGTCTCCGCAGCGGCAGGGGCAAGGGAGGCCAGGGTGGTGGGGGTGGCAGCGGTGGAGGCGGTGGTGGGGGCGGTGGAGGCAATGGAGGTGGTGGCGGTGGGAGTGGTGGTGGGAGTGGAGGCGTTGGTGGCGGCGGTAGTGGCAGCGGTAGTGGCGGTGGTGGCGGCGGGAGTGGGGGTGGCGGCAGTGGGAGCGGTGGCGGGAGCAGTGGTGGCGGTCGGGGTGGAGGTGTTCAGAGGGGAGGTTCTTGCGGTAGCCAGAGGCAGCAGCACCAGCGTCCGAGCGAGACCCCTTCGCCCTAGCAGCTTTGTGAGTGGTTTGCTCAGCGTGGGGCGTCTGGGGGTAGTGTTCGTTGCCCGTATGTCATTCGCACAAGTGGCCGCACTGGTTAGACATGCGGGAAGCCTCACACCCAGTACCGCTGCTTCTCCCATCTTGATGACGCCTTTTGCGCAAAGTTTCTCAACGCGACTGAGCTCCCCCGCGGGGCAGAGCTGCTTAGGCAGGGTTTGGTTATCTTTGCTCTTTATTATGATGCTATTGTTACTGCCATGTATGCGTTTACTATTAGTGCTCATGGTGACTGTTACTTGTGTATGCTGCCGGATCAAGGTATAGAGGATGCTGCTCTAGGTGCTTGTGAGTCTTCTCTCCCTGGTAATGTGCCTGCTGTGGTCTTGCGCACCTTCACGCTTGACTCAGGTGCTTCCCACTGTTTCCTTTGCGACAGTACCACTGTCACACCACTCCCTGCACCGGTTGCTGTCAGAATGGCTGACCCCTCAGAGGGCCCAGTTTTTGCCCGTTCCTCCACTGTTCTCCCGTGTCCGGCGGTTCCGTCCGGGTCACTCTCAGGTCTTCACCTCCCCTCGTTCTCTACAAACTCGCTGCCCTCCAGGATGCGATGTTCACTATTACCAATCCTGGGGGCCAGCGTGTGTCGATCTGCACGTGTACACGAGCGGGCCGTCACCTGGCCGCGTTTACCCGTCGGCCTGGGTCGAGTCTGTACATACCAACTACTGAGCCTCCTCAGGTAGCAGCTTCTGCGTCCGCGTCAGGTCAGCTTGCGCCCCCCTGCTCGTGTCGCGCCCTGTCGCACCAGACTCTCCTTTGGCACCACCGCCTTGGTCACCCCTCCGTACCACGCCTTCGTGGCATTCACTCTCATCTCCTTGTCTCTAGTCTTCCCTGGTCTCTGCCTCCCCTCCCACCCTTGCCTGCCCCGCCATGCCTTCTATGTGTCGAGGGGCGGCAGCGCGCCGCTCCTCACTCCTCCTCGTTTCCCCCGATGAACAGAGCCACGAGTGATACTCTGCTGATTGTTGACGACTACTTGCGTTACACCACGGGCGGGGGGGGGGGGGGGGGGGGGGGGGGGGGGGGGGGGAGGGGGGGGTCCCTGATGTTTTGATCCCTTGGATCCGCACAATCCGTCTCCAGCTCCGCGAGCGGTTCAACACAGACCGTCCGGTCCTGCGTGTGCACTCTGACAGAGGTGGTGAGTTTTCTTCCAACCTCTTCCGGTCATGGGGAGGGCATCACCCAGTCGTTCACGCTTCCGGCCTCTCTACAGCAAAATGTGGTTGCTGAGCGCCGCATTGCCTTAGTGATGGAGGTCGCTCGTACCTCCATGATCCATGCGGCTGCCCCCCATTTTCTGGTACGCAGCGTATCAGCTCAACCTCTGGCCCTGTGTCTCCTTGCCAGAGACCTTGCCGATACTGCGTTGGACGGGGGAGGTTGGCGATGCGTCGGTGTTCCAGGTCTGGGGATCTCGTGCCTTTGTCCGCGATAACTCCGCGGACAAGCTGTCCTCCCGTGCCATTCCCTGTGTCTTCCTTGGCTTTCCCCCTGATGCGCGTGGTTGGCAGTTTTACCACCCCACTCTGCGCCGTGTCCTGCTCTCTCAGGACAACGGTTTGACGAGTCGGTTCCCTTTTTACCGTCTCTTTGCTTACCGCACTGCCCCTCTCACCCCCCCTCCGCTCGTGTGCGCACCAGGTCCTCCACCGGTAGACCCCCTCTCCCCTCAGGATCCTGCTCCCTCCGGTGTGTCCCAGGTAGACCATGTCGAGCTTGTTGAGGTAGCTGTCGACTCTGGGGTTGCTGGGGGTGGTGTTGCTAGGGGTGTTGCGCCAGGGGGTGCTGAGCCTGAGCGTTTGGAGCCTAAGGTTGTTGAGACTCGGGTTGCGGAGTCTGGGGGTGCTGAGCCTGGTGGTACTGTGTCTGCTAGAGGTCCTACGCTGCCTCGTCAGGACGGGAGCCGCTCTCTCTACTGCAGGTGCGTGAGCGGTTTGCTAGGCGCACCCGCCTTTGGAGTGGCGCTTCCGGAGCTGCGGGCCTTGCCACTGGAGACACTGCTGCTGGAGGCACTGGGGCTGGAGGCGCTAGAGCTGTCGCCGCTGGTGGTGCTGCTGCTAATGGAGGTACTGGAGGTGCTGGAACTGCTGGTGCTGGCGTTGCTGGAGGTGCTGAAGGTGCTGGAGGTGCTGGAGCTGGTGGTGCTGCTGGCACTGGAGCTGGAGACTCTAGGGATGGAGGTGCAAGCAGTGGGAGTGCTGGAGCTGTTGACACTGGGGCCGGAGGCACTGTGTGGCCGCGAGTGTACTTTGTTCCACTGCTTCAGCATGTTCTTGATTTCCCATTTTCTAGCGGCCTTACTCCTCCCTTACTGTGTCCACCGTCTGACCAGTTGCAGTTACAGTTACAGCCAGCCGCCCTACTACCGACTCGTTCTCCTTATACTGAGCTGACAAGAGGTCTCACAGATCGTCGTGATCTTGCGTCTTGTCCTGCCTTGCCAGTTCGTCCTGTTCGGACTGGTCGTTATGCTTCGCAACCGCGTTCTGCTCATATCCCCCGCACACTTCTATGGCACTTCGTCCTTCCTCTGTTCCACAGTGTGTCCCTCTACCGTCTCCTCCTACGTCTTCTATTGCTAACGGTCCAGACCCTGCGTCTGACTTGGTTTGTGCTGCAAGTCCTACTGTCTCACATCTTCTCGCCACTGTTGTAACCGACCCTTCATTTGAGTCTTCTGCCACATCTGCCCACTTGCTGAGCTTGTCGACTTTGCTGCCGCCTGTCGTCTAGACTACGCCACTAGTCTTGTTGCTGAGTCTGAATCTGACTGTCCTCCATCCGTTGGGGGTGAGTGTGCTCTTGGCATGGACGTCCTTGAGGACAGGCAGGAGGATTTTGAGTGCTTTGCAGCTGCTGTACCTCATCTTGTGTCCATGCTGATTGCACCTGAGGGAGACCCGGATGCACCAGACATCTCAACCCCAGGCTCTTACTCAGAGGCGATTTTGGGTCCCTACTCCTCTCAGTGACAGATAGCCATGGACGCAGAGATGGCATCCCGGAAGTGTCAAACATTTATGCTATAGTCTTTCTAGGCTGTAGTGGGGTAAACAGTATGGGGTACAGTTTTCTAGTGTTACATATTTGTACCCAACTCATTTCCTAGTCCATCATTCCTCATTCTCTTCACAGGAAGTCCACAGGCACTTACGTCGACACAATTCCCCTTCCTAGGGCGAACATAGTCAATGGCATGGGGATTTTTAGGGTGAAGCGGCCGCCGGGTTCTCCGCCCGTCTTCAAGGTGCGTTACGCTGTACCTCATCTTGTGTCCATGCTGATTAAACGTGAGGGAGACCCGGATGCAGCAGACATCTCAACCCCACGCTCTTACTCAGAGGCGATTTCAGGTCCCTACTCCTCTCAGTGGTAGACAGTCATGGACGTAGAGATGGCATCCTGGAAGTCCAGAGGCACTAACGTCGACACAGTTCCCCCTCCTAGGGCGAACATAGTGGATGGCATGTGGATTTTCAGTGTGAAGCGGCCGCCGAGTTCTCCACGCGTCTTCAAGGTGCGTTACGCTGTACCTCATCTTGTGTCCATGCTGATTCAACCCGAGGGAGACCCGGATGCACCAGTCATCTCAACCCCATGCTTTTACTCAGAGGCGATTTTGGGTCCCTACTCGTCTCAGTGGCAGACTCCCATGGACGCAAAGATGGCATTCCGGCAGTCCATAGGCACTTACGTCAACACAGTTCCCCCTCCTAGGGTGATCATAGTCGATGGCATGGGGATTTTTAGGGTGAAGCGGCCGCCGAGCTCTCCACCCATCTTCAAGGTGCGTTACGCTGTACCTCATCTTGTGTCCATGCTGATTAAACCTGAGGGAGACCCGGATGCACCACACATCCCAACCCCACGCTCTTACTCAGAGGCGATTTTGGGGCCCTACTCCTCTCAGTGGCAAACACCCATGGACGCAAAGATGGCATCCATGAAGTCCACAGGCACTTATGTCGACACAGTTCCCCCTCCTAGGGCGAACATAGTCGATGGCATGTGGATTTGCAGGGTCAAGCAGCCGCCGGGTTCTCCGCGCGTCTTCAAGGTGCGTTACGTTGCACGAGGCTTCAGTCAGCGATAGACTTCTTCCAGAACTTCTCCCCTAACCTAGAGATGACCACTCTTCAGGTGCTGCTGCACGTTGTCGCTCAGCGTGACTACGACCTTAACTGTCTTGACTTTAGCACACCTTTCTTCAGGGCAGCCTGCACGAGGAGATCAAGCTACGCGGCTCACCTGCCTTCACTAGGTCGTTTCTTGCAGGTACCCAGTGGAGCCTTCGGCGGCCAGTCTTCGGTCTCTGCTAGGCACCTCATATGTGGGACGACACAGTGAATACGACGCTTGCGGCCCTTTGGTTTGCTCCTTCGATTGCTGACCTGTCGGTGTTTCTACGCACCAACACTTCGCTGCCGCCATTCTACATCCTCGTGGTTTACAAGCCAACAAAAAATTCAGGGGAGGTCAAGAGGCCAAGAAAAAGCCTTTAGAAATTATTTAGGTACCTGGGAAGTTGGGCAAAGTGCTACGGAGCGTAGAAAAGGGTCGTGCGTTGCGTGGAGTTAATATTCTCTCCCCGCGGTACAGTGTTAAGGCTCCCTGTTGCCCACAGGTGAAGCCTACACAGCTGCCAAGGCTTAGAGGAGACATCCAGGCTCAGGAGAAATTATACAAGCCTCGGAAAAATCCTCCTACCCCCCAGGTGAAGTTGGAAAGCGCTGAGTCAGGTATAGGAAAAAAGGAAGGTATTAAGTTTGATGTACCCTATGATCCTATTAACAAGACCCAGTTTTCAGCAACCATGGTGGACGGTACGAAGCTTCCTATCCACGGCGAAGCATCACTGCAGCTGCATATAGGTGCGTTGAGGTGGAAGCCGAAGCTACCAGTCACCAACATCAAAGAATTAGATTTTATATTGGGGCGAGATTTCCTGAAGCGGTTCAACCCCAAGATCGATTGGGTCAACAGCAAGGTGTGCATCTACAACAACGGGAAGCGGATAGCACTGCGAAGCTGAACGGATACAGGGAACGTTCCTGAAATGACACTGGCATTGTTTGAACAGACGGTGAACGAGAGTAACACGGGTTACCTAGCACTGGTTATGGCATGAGCAAAGGAGGAGAAGCCGAGTTCCGAGCTACCTGCAGTAGTAAAGGAGGTCTTGGAGCAATACGACGATATAATGCCCGACGACTTACCTGCGGGCGTACCTCCAGCACGCACCCACGAGCACGAGATCCTGGAGGAACCAGGTGCAAAACCCGTCTCACATGCACCATACCGACTGAGTCCGACCGAGCTGACAGACATGAAGAAACAGATAGAGTATCTACTGGACAGACAACTGATCCGCCCCTCCACCCCTCCCCACGGTGCACCAGTCCTCTTCACTCCAAAACCAGACGGCAGTCTACGGATGTGCATCGACTACCGTGCACTGAACAAACAGACAGTAAAAAACAAATACCCCATACCGCGCATAGACGACCAACTGGACCAACTGCGTGGTGCAACAGACTTCTCGAAGCTGGACCTACAGTCGGGCTACTGGCAGATCAAGATGGCGGACAACTCGATCCACAAGACGGCGTTCCATACTAGATACGGCTCCTACGAGTTCGGACTCTGCAACACACCAGCAACGTTTCAGGCGAAGATGAATCACATCTTACGACATGTGCTGGACGAGTGCGTGGTGGTGTATCTGGACGACATTCTCATCTACTCCAAGAACATGAAGGAGCATGTGGAGCATTTACAGAAGGTGTTCGAGATCCTGCGGAAAAACAAGTTCTACGTGAAGCTGTCGAAGAGCAACTTCGCCCTGAAGAAGGTGCAGTTTCTCGGGCACATGGTGAGTGCCGAGGGCGTAGACGCGGACCCCCGGAAGATCAAAGCCGTCAAGAAGTGGAAAGTACCGGAGAACATGAAGGAGTTGCAGCAGTTCCTAGGCTTCGCCAACTACTACAACAGGTTCGTGCCGCAGTACGCTAAGATAGCAGCGCCACTGACCGACCTACTGAAAAAGGATACGCCCTACAAATGGGATACCCCTCATCAGCAAGCCATGGAGCAGCTACAGACAGCATTGACTACAGCGCCAGTGCTCATCTTGCCGGATCCAGACAAGGACCATGTGGTGGAAGCAGACGCTAGTGACCAAGTTGTCGGAGCAGTACTGATGCAGGATCACGGACGCGGTTTGCAGCCCATTGCTTACCTCAGTAAGAAGCTACACGGAGCAGAACTGAACTACCCCATCCCTGACAAGGAAGCCTTAGCGATAGTCATAGCCTTCAAGGCGTGGAGGTGTTGCATAGAGGGAGCCAAGACTACAATCTATACTGAACACTGCAGTCTCAAATACCTGAAGTCGCAGCCGATGCTCTCACGATGATAGGTGCGGTGGGTGGACTTCCTAGAAACTGACTTCCACTATGACATCGTCTACAAGCCCGGGCTACACAACAAGGCAGACGCGTTGAGCCGCCCCGAACATGTAGTAGGCATCCAGCTCGACGGGATGAACCCTCTGTCAAGGGTCTATTCCAACATAGGTACTCTGTGGATGCAGAGATCGCTACAGCACAGACAAAGAAGCTGTTACAGTGGGAGAAAGACTTAGCTGTAAGGAAGGGTTCAGGAAAGATTTGGGTACCAAATTACGCCCCGCTACGGCAGATCCTATTGGAGGAGTTTCACGACGTACCATACGCGGGACATTTCGAGAGCAACAAAACGTTAGCAGGGATAGCGAAGTATTACTACTGGCCCGGGATGGCAGCAGACGTGCAGCAGTTCGTCACCTCTTGCGACACGTGCCAGCGGATGAAGAGTAGCAAGCAGAAAAAAGCAGGGTTACTTCAGCCTCTATTTGTATTGGAGCAGCCATGGTAGGTCGTTAGCCTCGACTTCATCACCGGACTTCCTTCGACCTCACGGGGGCACGATTCCATCCTCGTAGTAATCGATAAGTTCTCCAAAATGGGTCACTTCATACCGACCAAGGCCACAGCTACAGCTGAAGCAACTGCTCGCCTCTTCTTCGACCACATCATCACCATCCACGGCATCCCCGCTACACTCATCTCAGACATAGACCCAAAATTCACCAGTAAGTTCCGGAAGGAGCTCATGGGACTATTGGGGACAAAGCTTGCAATGTCTTCAGCATACCACCCCCAGACTGACGGACAGACAGAGCGACTCAATCAAGTGGTTGAACAGTTACTGCGCACAGCTTGCAAGGACAACGTCAGCCACTGGGACACATAGTTACCGACCCTAGAGTTCGCTTATAACAACGCCTCACATGCGGCCACAGGGAGAACTCCTTTCTTCTTGTGTTACGGACGGGAACCACTCACACCACAGCAGCCAACCACACCGGCACACGTCCAAGCCGCACATGACTTCGTCACCACCATGCAGCAACTATGAGAGAAAACTCAGCGACGACTCACCACGATGCAGATCTCCCAGAAACAGTATGCCGATCGTCAGCGACGAGATCACTCAGTAGCAGTCGGAGATCCAGTGCTTCTTGACACGCGCAACTTGAACCTGTCTCACCTCCCACCCAAACTCCGGCCTCGCTTCTGTGGTCCTTTTCTCGTTGAGGCACAGATGACACCAGTTACATTCCGCTTGCGCTTACCAGATACTTGGAAGCTTCACAAGGCTTTCCATGTTCAGCTACTGAAACCCTACAAGGACCCCAACCAACAGTTCCAGGGACGGCAGCTACCGTCACCTCCACATGTTCTTGTGCATGATGAACCCGAGTACGAGATCAAGCGCGTTCTCTGTCATCAGCGCCGTGGCGGCAAGACCCTCGAGTTCCTGATATGCTGGAAGGGATATGACCCCACTAAGGACAGTTGGGTTGCAGAAGCTGATATGGGCAACGCACGCCGTGCTCTCAAGGACTATCTTGTCAAGCAGGGTGTATCTC